ATCTCAGGCCTTCTGAGAAGCCTTGGTTACTCAGAGTATTGGAGAGCCGGCCACACATATGACTCCGAACACGTTCCATTTCGCAGGTGTATGGGTGCTTTGAATGGGTGTGCGTGTAGAGATGAGTGTGTGTATATGTGTGCACAAGCGATAGCAGACTGTGGTGATCAAGACAGTACATAGTATAGGAGAGCCGGCCATAGGTAGCGCTGGGCACATTTCATATCTCAGGCCTTCTGTTTATTTGGGGAATGGTTCTGAATATGTTTTCTGACTGATTTACCAGCGCATGTCGTTTCTCTTGCCCGTGATTCTATCAGTAATAACGCTGCTGCGCAATGTGTCACACCGATATCATTCCATCGACAGCCACATACACACACCGGAACTCGTCCGCTATTAACTTAATGTTATTCGCCACATTCGTGCAGGTGTGGGTAGTAAGAACGTCACCCTGGGTGTGCCCCGTTTGAAAGAGTTGATCAACGTCGCCAAGACGGTCAAGACTCCCGCTCTGACGGTCTATCTGGTGGACGAGTACCGACAGGTAGATAGACCTTCTGTGCTCACAGGTGTACATATATACCCGTGCACGCGCGCATATCTGTATCTGCAGTAGCCATAGTCGGAACGTACTGTGTGACCACAAGTACTTTATATACCTGTACCCGAAGCCAAGTGCACATGTCGTTCTACTATCCTTGTCCACCCCTGTGTGTGTGGTGGTGGGGTGGGATAATCTTTGAGCGATCCTTGAGCAACCGATGACTGGCTCGTGGCAAGCTTGAACAGGACGTGCCTGGTGCATCTCTACTCGCTGCCAGAGACCTGATGGGGCGCTTGCACCCGTTGGTCAGTATTGAACAACCTTTGTGAGTTGTAGGGTTTGCACAAGTTTTAGTAGGGTATACCAACGGCAATGCGTGCTTATTCATATCTCTGCATCATTCTATTACTCCTCCAGTTATGCAAAGGCGAGCACATTCATCCCGAAATTATACCCCACACGGATTCAATCGCGACAATCTGAACACAACACACCTCCTTTTGAATACAATCGTAATCATAATCTTGATCGCAAAACATCGCTGAACACTCAAAAACCCTAAAATCCTAAAACATCACAGTACTAGAAATAATTTGTAACACCCCTAAAACATCGCATAACACTCATAGGATATGCAAAAGGCGAAGTATGTGCAGTCCAAACTGGAGCACACCACACTCCGCAACGTCACCGCAGGCACGGAGATCTACTACGATCCCAATCCAAGTGAGACGGTCATCGCTGAGGATGAGGAGTTTGTGAGTGCTTTCTACGAGATGCCGGAGGAAGATCTCGATATCAATCTACTGTCCAAGTGGATGTTACGTATCGAGCTAGATCGTAAGCGAATGGTATGGGCCATAGTTGGCGGGAATATCATTTTATCATTGTTTTATTTTTGGGGTTGTTTTGTTTTGGGTTATTTGCTCTAGGGTACGTTGTATATGTTGGTGGTAGAGGATATGAAATTGTCGAAGTCGCAATCGTTTGGAGCCTTTCGAAGTATCACGCTGATCACATGCAATGCTCGGGCGGTCTGTAAGTGAAGATTTTCTCTGACCGGGGGGGCCTTCTGTGGGGCTTTCGCTAAACATTAGTTACTTACGACAGCAAGGAACCCTGTCGCATCTCTCACCTTCCTTTTTTCTACAATCGTGGATCCCTGCCTAACCTTCATATCTATTGGCCACATTGTTTGTATTATTTTCCGTTGCGTCAGTATGCCCCACCTTGCCCTTCCCTTCAATGGTGTCATTTCTTTCTGATGTACTGCCACGTCTCTATTGAATTTACCGATATAGGTTGACAAGAATTTGAATATGGAGCAAGTCGCCGCGCGTATCTCGGAGGAGTTCGGCGAAGACCTGTGGTGCATCTTCAGTGATGACAACGCAGACAAGCTTATTCTGCGCATCCGTGTGAAGACTGCGGTATGCTATTTAGCTTTGTTTGCACGGTATATATGCCAGTATAGTGGTGTATGCGGATGTCCTTGTGTTGTATGTGTATGTTGGTTTGCCTGGCACACACGCATTGGGTGGCTGTGGAGTGTTCAAGTCTAAACGCTGCGAAACTCTTTTGGGCGGCTGTGGTATAGGTTGGCATGGTTGGGACCATCGTGCCTTAACATTGACTCCATACCTCCTGATTTGAACATTTCCATGGCCTTTTTGTTTTGTTATTTTCAATACAGCCGCACGACAAGGACGAGGAAGACGGTGAAGATGAGGACGACCAATTCCTCAAGAAGGTCGAGAGCTCTCTGCTGAGTACCCTTGATCTGCAGGTACTGCCTTGCAGACTGGTGCACATGCACAGTATCCACGCTCATCTGCCACATGTTTATCAATCAGCCGTATGCATGCTAATTTATCGCCTATCCGTGGATTCTACCGCGCGAGCGCTTGCTGCGCGATAGTGCTGAACCCACACAGCCTACTTTATTCTGTGTGCGGGTGTGGTTTGGGGTTGGGGTTGGGCTGAGTTGGGCTGAGCATGGTATATCTATATTTTTTTCCTCCTTATATACTAATATATATATATGTATGTATTTAATGCTTTCTTGAATAAAATCGTCGTCAGGGTATCCCCGGTATTAGCAAGGTGTACATGACTGATAAGGACAGGCGTAAAATCTTCAACGAGAGTGGAGAGAGTGCCCAGGAGGATGAGTGGAAGCTGGAAACCGATGGCGTCAACTTGTTGGCTGTCATGTCTGAGTTGGCGATCGACGAGGTGTGTCTGAGATGTATTGTAAACAATACATTCAATAGTTCTTCAAGGATTTAGGGGGTTAGTAGACGTCTCTTCCCCGGCAGCGTGCCATTTATACTCGGATATCAGAATCAGCCCAAGTTTGCCTAAGAGTGTGAAGTGCCGCCTCACATCCATCTCACCTGTTGCTGTTGGTCGGTTTTTTATTCGCATTCCGTTATAACCTATGAATTGATTTGCCATTCCGAACGATTTGCCTTTCAGATCCGAACCACGTCCAATGACATCGTAGAGATCATCCACGGATTGGGTATCGAAGCCGTGCGAATGTCGCTTAAAAATGAGATCCATAAGGTACGTGTCTGCTGCGAGCGTGGGATTGCTATAGCATCCGCGTGGCCGTACCGTGCCCGTCGAAAGTGCATAAACAATCGATTGATGTTGCGTTTTCTCGCTGTAAACCCTTGGTCTTCTTTACAGTTTTATCCATTGCAAGCCCTGCGTATCGATTCATTTTGGTAAGCGGAGATGAAGCTTTGTTATGGGGATGACTGCCCCACGCCCAAGTAGACTAGAATACACAGATGAACACTTCTCATACATATGAACACTTCTCATACATAGCGGTAATGCCTGGCGTGTGGTTATTAGTCTACACCCTGACATGTATCATGTTGCAAACAGCCAGGAAACGACGGCCTTGTTGCATGTGTGCATAGGATCACAGCCGTCGAACACAGCTTTCACAACCTATCTGGTGCTCACAGAGTCGGTGGTACTAATATCAATGCGCCTGGTTGTGTGCAGGTTATCTCCTTCGATGGTTCCTATGTCAACTACCGTCATATGGCCATGCTGGTCGATATGATGACCTTCCGAGGCCACCTGATGTCTATTACGCGTCACGGTATCAACCGTAACGACAACGGTTGTCTGCAAAAGGCCTCCTTCGAGGAGACGGTCGAGATTCTGTTCGAGGCTGCTGCCTTTGGAGAGACGGATTACCTCAAGGGTGTGACGGAGAGTATCATGCTGGGTCAGTTGGCGCCGCTTGGAACGGGTGAATTCGATCTGTTCTTGAACGAGGTACGTTTTTGGGTCTAGGGGTTTCTCCGTCTCCAGTATTTCTCCCGATGCGTGTTGGTGCTGCGGGTATGTGCTTGCTGAAAGGGTATCGTGAAATCTGTGTTCCGCTGACTACAATAATCTACTTGTGTGTGTACACTGTTGAAAGTCGGGGGGTTTTTTTGGTCTTCCGGTGTAATGGATAATCTATCGTAAGCTCACGTACAAACTGCCGGCACGTCATGGACTCGTGTCTCGGTTCCATTTTCAAAGTGTGCATCCTTTATTGCCTGATCATATACGTACACATAACGTACTTTATTCTCCGGATTTCTTAACATTTGTGTATTTATGCACGCTTGTCTGCACCACGGCTTACACATACAGGATCAACTCCAGTTCGCACATGACGTTCCGCAAGTGGCGGACTACAACTCATCCATGTTCGACTCGTTTGCGCCATCCACCGGCATCTTCACACCTTCGCACGAGTATGTGTTTTGTAATTTTAGCCCAGAACGTTGAGGGAGACTATGCTTTGTGTATGATGGGTGTATGTATGTGCTATACGGTTGTGCCGGTATGTAAATGGCATATGGTTATTTGCGTATGTAAGTGGTATAAGGTTATTGGCCTTTGGATTTGTACCGTTGTTGTTGCGTTTACTCTTTGCTGTGCGGAATGCAATTTGATAGGCTATAAATATTCCATGATCCTACACCTTTTCCCTTGTATATGTTTCTTCTTTCTTCAAATTTTGCCTTACGTTGCAACCGATCGATTACATCGCCAATGGCGCGGCATTCTGCATCTTTTGCGTTTCACTACCGTATCAGTGTTAATTTACGGCATTTCGTGTTTTTTTTGCACTACTGAATATATGGTACTGTAGCGGATTTCGTTTGTCTGCACTACCGTACGACTGTACAACATTTCGTTTGTCTGCACTACCGTATGACTGTACAGCATTTCGTTTGTCTGCACTAATGAAAAAATGTAAATGTACATCATTTCGTTCTTTCCCTAGTCTTTCTTCCCCAAATCTGGAGATTTGTTTAATGGGATTTGTTTAATGTTTGGCCATCTCACTTGCAGTGGGAGTTATAGCACGGATCTCTACATTCTACACAATACTTCACATCACATCTATCCACTGGACGTTTTTTCCTCGTCACATCCTTGCTATCCAATACCTCGAGTCGGTCTCCTCGCGGGGACTTTATCCACGGTGCACATCGTCGTGTATGTTAACCCCATCTAATGGTGTATTGTATGCGCACGTGTTACGATCCCAACAGCTCCATGTCACCGGAATACGGCGGCTACTCGCCCGGTGGTATGACCCCTGGCGCACAGTTCTCGCCCATGCCCGACTCGGGTGCCTTCTCTCCGGCCTATTCCAACGGTAGGTGCGCACACACATAGCGTGAGATGTACGGCTTACTGTTGAGGTTATATGTGTAATATGGTGTGTGCAGGCCTTGTGTAGTTGTCTGTGCAATCACGAGAGACGTTGTGTGTGATATGGCTGTACAGGCCTTATCCAGTGTTATTTGCACGCACGTGCGGCCTAAGAAGCATGCCACGGTATAGAGTGGGGGCTCCATGGTGTGGGGTGGATCATATTAAGATATGTGCAGGTCTGCGTACCTGACGCGTACTCCTCACGGTCTATGTAGGAATATTAAATCGCATTGTTGGTATTTCACAACAGTCTGTTCGTATACATATAGCCTGCCACGTGCACACATTTTGTAAGCGGTTTATCGTGTAGTAGACAGTGGTATGTGTGTGTGCATGTACGCGCCGACTGACATTGACATCCCGTTTTCTTATATAGTGACATGTGCTGTAAATAGGCTTGTTCTAGTGGCTGCGTATTGGTACAGGCTGTTGTGTATGATGTATACCTATGTTTGACGAGTACTCCGCAGCTAAAAATACAGGCTTGGTCACTGTTGAAAGCTACGTCAAGGTTTGTTATTCAATCGTCTTCTTCATCTCCATCTGCATCGTACTACCAAAAGGCCCAGGATCGCCCGGTGAACCGTGGTCGCCGACATCCCCCGCATACACACCCTCGTCACCTGCGTACAGCCCCACTTCACCGGCTTATTCGCCTACGAGCCCGTCGTACAGCCCCACCTCGCCGGCATATAGTCCAACTTCGCCTGCTTACAGGTATGTTCTCTGTCTATTTTTTGTATATCTTGAAAAAATATTGTTTAGTGTGGTGCAGTATGTATGTGCAAGTTCATTCTTGTTTTTTTAACATTGTACAATAGATGACTTCTGCATCTCGTCATGACGTTAATTGCGAGGCTGAATAATTGAACACATTCGCATTTCCCTACATCCCGAACTCCACCGCCCACCATTGCCATCCTAATCTCCATACTTCGCCTTAAATTCGTATCAATCTACAATGCGTATCTTTGCGCTAAGCTACTGAACTAACCCCCTTTGCCTACTCCAATACTTCCAGCCCTACCTCGCCCGCATACAGTCCAACGTCGCCAGCGTACAGCCCCACATCTCCATCGTACTCGCCGACGTCCCCTGCATACTCGCCCACCAGTCCGGCGTATTCACCCACCAGTCCGGCTTATTCGCCTACGTCGCCGTCGTACAGGTAAGCCTAGGCCCTGGGATTGAATTGCATTGAGTTGGATTGGATTGGATGGGTCTTACTTTGGGCCAATGGATTTGTTTTCTAAATTGCTACGATGTTGTACGATATTCCGGTTTTTTCGGGGGTCTGACAATATCGTTGCCGAGGCTCTGGGGTTGTGCCCCCTGGTACAGAGGTTTTTATAATCTGTCGCGCTTACTACAATCACACCCACTCATGGTTTGCCATAGCTCGCTTATCTCTACCTGCATCCTGCCACACCCCATCATTGACCACATTCAACGCCTCCCTGCGTATCTTCGTATTTGCACTCTCTGCAGCCCTACGAGTCCGGCTTACAGCCCGACCAGTCCGGCTTACAGCCCCACATCGCCTTCGTACAGCCCCACATCGCCTTCGTACAGCCCCACGTCACCGTCCTACAGCCCCACCTCCCCCGCTTACAGTCCCACGTCACCCGCGTACTCGCCCACGAGCCCGTCGTACAGTAGCTCGGCGGCGGTCTACTCGCCGAGTTCGCCTGCGTACAGGTAGAGGGCCCTATCATGTGTGTGGTGTACGTGGTCATTGTGATGCAAGTGTGTATGTAGAGTCTCAATGTTGTCTGGGAAGATTCTACTCGCATGCATGCACCTGGTTGTGATGCGTGATTGCCTGGCGCAGGTCATGCGGCCTGTAACAAATTTATGCTATGTGTCACCAATATGTCTATGTTTGATATCCGTTGTCATCTATGTGTGTGATGTCATCTCCAAAGCCACATGTGCGAGGTATTGACAAATGGAATACGATTTCTACGACAATGTCATTGTGGTTTCTATACGTCCCCGGCGTAAAGTATTCGAATCCACCACTTAAAGTTCACGGTACTGATCCCTCACTCAGACTTCTTTGCTATTCCAATACTCATGATATATAGTCCGACCAGTCCGTCGTACAGTCCCACATCGCCGTCGTATAGTCCGACGTCGCCGTCGTACAGGTAAATTCCCATCTCGAAAACGATTGATGCGCTCGCATATCGAAAAGTGTGTTTTTCAAGCGTATATACTAGCACGCATCAACGTTGTCTTGCTAATGACATATACTTTTAAAGCATTCAACTGTTAGTCGTCTGTTAGTCGAACGCTTTATTCGTATATCTAATGCTAGTTCACTTCTGATCTTCAATTTGTAGTCCGACAAGTCCCTCGTACAGTCCAACGGATATGTCCTATTCCCCGACATCTCCGGTGTATTCACCGGATGGCACAAACGGCACCAAGAAAGACGCCAAGTAGTAGTGCCTGTTCTGCGCGAGTCGCCGATTTGGCTTATATCGTACGAGTCTTTTTTCAGAAATTGACGTTGGTTTACTGTCGTTTGGGGAAGAATTGTATTTATGGAATAGGACTGGATGCTACGTACTTTTCCCCAGCGATAGGGCTGTCGGTGGTGTAGTCCGTGTCTCGAGGTGCACGTATAAGCGATGCAAACAGTTCTGGGCATTGGTTGTACCACGTGGATTTCTCGCTGTAGCACTGAGATCGGATGAGATGCCGAAACTCGGTTTCACCGCGACGTTGAAGATTATCTGCGAGAAAATGACGAGAAATATGCGTACAAATGTCCATCAACAAGATCCGAATACGGCAGTTGTATATCGCACTTTACACACTGACTAGAGTGATACGGGATTTTGGAGGATAGCACTGGAATGTTTTTTTTTGGTGCTTGGGCGAGTCTTCCTAACAGTAGGAGTTCTGCTGGATAGCCGCAGGGCGAATTGACCCGCCACGTACACGTGAGTGCCTTTCCCAATAGCTACATCACCTTTAGTGAAATAAAGAAGTTGTAAACTTCAACGCGGATGGAATTTACGCTTCGAAGCTATTTTATGCACGATTTGTTGATAAATAACCCTTCCATCATGTAAGAAGGCCAAGGAAGCAAGCAGGAGCCCAGAGCCAAGAGGCCATTATTTTAAATACAAAAATCACTCGCCTGGTGGCTGGTGGTGTCTAGTGATTGGTGGTCGAACCAAATCTATTAAAACTATTGGGAAAAAAAGGCGGTTTTTGTAAAAAGTAGAATTCATACAAAAAGACAAGTCTCAAGTCTCAACTCTCAACTCTCGAGACTCGAGCGTCTCTGTATTTGTTTTGAAAAATCCCTTTTTGATTGTTTTCAAAAAAAGAAAAAAAAGAAAAGAAAAGATCGGTCTTTTGTTTTATTTTAGAATATAATTCGGAATTCCCTTCTTGTTTTTAGAGTTTTTTAAAATAGTAAACAAAAAGTCCATTATTTAAAAAAAAGGGTTCTTTTTGGAAAAGTCCTTTTGGCTTTTGAACATGCCACGAAAGTCATTTTTTGAAATGGTTTTATTCGTTTGAGAATTCGAATCCAGATTTCAGTAAATATCGTTGTTTATGTACATGTATTTATCATTTAAAAAAAAAGATCATAATTCACAGCCTTCTATTATGTAGAACACATATTGATGTAAATATTTATTTAAGTTTCAACTTTCAACTTTCAACTCTAAAGGCACCAATGAACATGAAACTATTAACGCCTGAAGCCCTGAAGCCTTCTTGTGTGCCCCGCGGGCTACCTTGTTGAGGTTGAAGGCTGAGGCTGGAAGCTGGAGGCTGGCCACCTGGAGGATGGACTCCCTGGAGTCCTAGACAGAAAAGAAAACAGATTTTCTAAAAATATACATGGCCCAGCTTTCATTTCGTTTAAGCGTCAATACGTTTTCAAAACATTGCGTTAGCGGCAAACAGGATACGTTTTCGTACGTTACATGACCTTGGTGATGAAGCCCGCCAATATATTGGCATATGCCGTCCAACTTTAGACACCGAAATATGGGCGATTACCTGATATATAGGTTGAACTTTCGCAGTTTTGGATCCAGTCCAACGCATATTTGTTATTTTTTGATCTGTTTAGCACAGTTCTTGAAAAAAAGTGTTTTGAAATTGTCGTTTAGGAAGCACCAAATTGAATACATATTTACGGTATTCGTAAAAGTGGGTGTTTAAAAAACAAACAAACATAAAACGTAGTACTTTTTCAGCTACATAGCGTGTACGGCTGTACGATGTACGTTATGAGGCCTATACGAGTGTACGTATTTAGTACGCTGTACGTACCCATAGTAATACCACACTCTGAGTCTCTGACTCATGTGAAATTGTGAATCATGAATTCAGTTTGCGTGTTTATTGGCTAATAAAATCATATGGCGTGTGCAAGGTAATCCTTTTAAAAATTTCTGATGAATAAATTGCCATTTTAGTTTTCCCTCTCATTCTTCTCGAGAGTAGTAGAGTAGGAAATAGAACTGAATGGAAAAAGTAAATAGAACTAAAGGCGGCGCGGAGTCTCAGACTCGGCCTTGCGGGCTTATTGTATACCTTTTTTTTTAAATAAAAACAAAAGGGCAACTACAAAGTACAATACAGAAAGTACAGACACTCAGTCAGTCAGTCAGTCAATCACTGACTCACTGTATGCAAATATGCCAATATTTATGTCAATATGCATATTGTGCGAATGTACGTTGAGCACCGGTGAGCCAAGCCTTAACTCTCGGATCTCGTGAGGAGTGCTCTCTCCCTTTAAAGTTTCAAGTTTCAAGTTTCAAATGTAAAATTGTAAATATGAGCGTTTTCGACTCGGACAATCGGACGACGGACTGTGGTCTCTCTTTGAGTCTGTAACAAGTGACAAACTGTGTCGCTGACAGGCTCTGAGTAATGAGAGTATTTCTCTCTCTGAGAGAGGTGCGACCAGGATGAGGGACAGAGAGAGCACGACAGCCAGACATAGTCAATTATGTAGTCAACTCCCCACTCACCACTGTCACCAGTCACGTCTCACCAGTCCCCATTCAGTCACCCCATAGCCTTCCTATATTGAACAACTTGTCACATAAATTTATAGCCGCCTAAATTATAACATTTTAGCCTTTTTAGGAATAGTGATACTTACTGCTATTTCAGCTTCGACGGGCGTGATATGAGGTCGGACTTCGGAGTCGAGAACCCCTTTCGCTGCAGCTATTACAAAATACATGTATAATAACTAAAACAATTCTTTGATGTTACGCACTACTTCGCTGTGTGCATTTATATATATCTGCGTCCTTGTCGAATATAACAGATATTAAATTACAATGGGTGTGACTGTGTACTTTCTAGGTGCTGTGATAGTCGCACTTTTAGGTGTGTGGCAGAGTGAATCATTTCTATACACAAGCCATGAATGCGTGGCAAACGACGGCCCCTTCTCATGCACATATGAGGAGGCGCGTGATAAGTTCCGAGCTGCAATAACCCCATTTTTGAGAGATGCGAATGATATGCAATCGTATCCTGTCTCTGATGAAGGCCTGGAAATAGGTGTGTATGTCATTCGGCACTTGCATCTGTATGCGTTGGTTCTAGAGAGCTCTGCTGCGCAAACAATAGCGAATAAGATGAGGACTGCGTAACGGGGAACAAAATTTTGCTTATTGAATTTAATTACTTAATTCGCATAACGAATCTAATTTCATAGTTCGAGGCGCATAGAGTACACCCTCAATGTAATGGGTCGGCCTTTCCACCTAACTGTCTGCTGTTCATCAACAGTCTAAATTAAGCATACCTACAGTTGAGATCGCTTGCGAATCATGCCTCTTCTGATTACGTCATGTACATATATATGTTCCACTTTTCAGTTTCACTTGAATTTTTGCAGTTTCATATGAACGGCAGTGTACGCCGCAAAGCACTATCTGGCCTGGTACTATACTGTCACCCGAGTGGCACTGGAGCTTCAAACGAGAAGAGGTTTCTCATAATAGAGTTCTTCCTGAAGTACATATGTGCATGTAGCATGCTATCCTAACTTACGGCCCTTTTTATCGACTCTGTACCTAGACATCGCCTACATTGGCAGCAAAGCGCCAACTGGCCTGGTTATCCACATGAGTGGCACTCACGGTGTAGAAGCACACGCTGGTGCTGGTGTCCAAACTGACTGGTTGCGAAAGCTGAGCGAAGGTAAGTCTGGTGCGTGCTATTTTGTTGTTTACTTTCAGAGTAATATATGCTTTCAAGTTGGAATTGATGCTTTTCCGTTGGTATGCTCATGTTGCGGTATTCTGTATATCCGTGCTTGATGAAATTTGGTTGTTTATCAAAGTCACGCGCCATCACCGTATATGCGTGGTAAGACAGTGATCGTAATGTGTCGATGATGTGTATACAATCCATTTGTACACGCATTATAGTTCGATATCGTGTTACAGTTCGGGTTTAATTTGACCTATCGAACACCCCGTGATGTGCTTGTCACACGGAAAGGTCAAAGTGCATTCAATTGGTGAATGGGTATGATCTATATATCTCTTATGTCCTGTGTATATTGCGCGCCATCGTAAATCTCTCCTGTGCGTTTAATGAATTGGGTCTGAGAGTTTACTTACGTTTGTGCCATCCATACCGAGTTGCAAGCTATCGAAATGCCTCAGCTTTAGACTGTGGTGGTGTATTTCTTAGGGATGCATCCGAAAGTATAATTCCTAGGAAAAAAATAAACATATTAACCGTAAAACATATTTGATAAAAGTACTGGGCGAAGTGTGGATCAGATACTCGTGTTGAGGTATCGAGAACAATGTGCGGATGCAACATTATTGACATATTTGCACATATTCTTAGACGGGTATTTTATTGGCATCAACAGGGACTGGTGGCAAGGAGGTCACTGAGTTTATCCAACCGGATCGCAATGTCGGAATAGTCTTCGTATCTTTGCTGAACCCTTATGGTATGAAGTATGGCCGACGATTCAACGAGAATAGCGTTGATCTGAATCGCAATCTGTTGACGGATAAGCAGTGGGTATGACTATCATTCGATCCAATTTTGTTTTCGATAAGAACAGTTCAATCTGATCTACGCGCCATGATGGCAATCATTGTCATACTGACTGCGTCTTGTATGTATTGTGGTTGTCCATTAAAGATGCGTCGTGACTCATACATTAATGTACTCACCCCAACAGGAATCTCTAAAGAAATCTGGTGGTAATGCCAAGAAAGAGTACGAGCAATTCGATGTCCCGCTATTCAACCCTCCGAGACCGGCAGTTTGGTATGTACTCGACCACCATTTAAACTTGCAGGCATCTTGATGTAAGTACCAATAACCGCTTTTGTGTGATTGTGTCTTTGTACTGAGAGGCATGTACTTCTATAAGGTTGGGCGGACACAATTCAAATCGTCTCTATTGAGCATAAAGCGAATACTCAGTGATTGTGCAGCCTGCATATGAACATCGATTTTCTAATCACATCGGGAATTCGTATGTGCGCTAAAGTCTCACGGATACACACTTCGTTTGTATATTCGTGTCTGCAGGTCCGACAGCTGGCTCACTCTACCCAAGGCGCTGTACTACACGGTCATATATGGTGTCAATACGCTCAAAACAGCCGTGGTCACGGGGCAGTACTACAATCCAAAAGGTAAGCGGGGGCTTTTTTTTGCGCTGAACATTAAGTGTATGTTTGTAATTATAACTCTTGTTGTGTACTGAATTTTCCTTTTACATTAGGGACTTTCTACACTGAACGTTTATTCGATGTCCTGTGAACATAATTCCTCTGACGTTCGCTCAATCTCTGTTTTTCATCAGGAATTTTCTACACTGGAGATAAAATTCAGCCAAGCTACCAGGCTGTGACTGACTACTTCCAGAACCGGAGTGAACTATTTTCAAATGTATGTATGAATGTCTATGATACCGTTATACACTATTCGTCTTAAATCGCTTCGATCTCCGTAGTATATCCCAGCAGCCATTATATCGGTGTGGTCAACTTGTCTATGACAGTATCGTATTCCCTTCCCCGTCTGTGTGGTATACGGACACTTGCTGTAATCTTCTTGAGTATAATTCAGATGGATAATTTTTTAAAAGTAAGAATCATCCAGTTTCCTCCCTTGAGCTACATTGTCTGTTACCTATGCATGACAAACACTACGATTAACTAGATCATTTCTCTGTGCTTGATGTAGGTACGGACAACTATGATTGTCGATGTCCATACGGGCCTCGGGCCTGCGGGTATAGACACCTTGATGCCTGATTCAGACGCAGTCTGCAATTACTTCCCAGGAGCCCCGGTGTGCGATTCGCATGCCTCCGAAGCAACAACTGAAGTTGCCGCCGGATATGAGCTTGTATGGGGCACCACCTCAAAACTGATAACGGTATGATGTCCCCCCACGACTTGCTTAAGTATTTTAAACTGCAAATAACTGAAATAATACCACATTCATCAAAGATGAGACTCTCTTCTGCTACGTTATTTTGGGCTCTGGCACTCTCAAAATACAGGCACTCGCCTGCGAGTGCATGGTTACATTCTTTTGAATTGAACGTAAACAGATCACAATTGACATCTTTTCATTGCTGTATTATATTAAATAGGCGCTACCTTTGGGTATTCCGGGCTCACATATGCACGTGTGCCAAGAGTTCGGCACTGTTCCTGGAATTATGGTGGTAAATGCTTTGGTTCTGGAGAACATGGCCTATCACTACGGCACGAGTGGGGTATCTCGTGAGACTTTTCAACAAGGACTTCGAGATGCTTTCTACGTACGAAATGATGCATGGGAAGAGTTGGTCCGTGCAAGAGGCGCGCTAGTACTTGAGCAAGCCATAGTAGGTGTATCCAAGGCCTGAGGAAATGGAGCGCAGGCGTTCCTACTTTCTAAATAAAAGTCTCAAACCAACATCTAATTGGTGTCACCTATAGTGGTGAGTAATCCTGCATATGTTTCTTCCGTTTTTACACTCGTAAAATTAATGAGTAACAAAATTGTGAAATTGATGGAAACATAGATTCAAAATTGTGGCCAAATTAATCTACCTAGAATCAGGGTTCCTTTCTTGTCCAAAAATATTTGGGGTGATTCCCTTGACATTCCGACTGGATATGCTTAAACCGATATCGGCTCTTCCCGTAGCGGCAGAATATCTGCTGCTAAATTCTAGATTTTAGCTAGATGCGGTATGTGTATGAGGCAGGCGAGGCATGTCCATCGCAAGGTTGAACAATACCTGCGTGGCTGTCAAGTAAAGACATCTCGGCTGTGTTAAGAACCCAATTCGCTGAGATAGAAAACAATTGATAGCTACGATTGGCAATGCGAAAATGTAACGAACACCCACTACGCGAGTATAGTGATGCAATCGGTTCGAGTTTAGTATATACAAGATTTTTGTAAAGATAAAATATATTTTCAAGGCGCAATCCTGGGCTGCACCTCATGTCACGAGCTTTTGCTGCACTGAGGATTTAAACCTAGACATACTAGACTTCTCATTGATTATGTTCCATTGACATGCACGATTGTAATCGGCGAGTAGGAAGTTAAAAACGACTTAGTAAAACAATTTAGGATCGGATACTCCAATGCAAATAATCAAGAAATACAATTTAAAGTCAAGCAATACACTTTACTTATACATCAGTCGGTCATAGACCGTTGTTGCCACATATTTTATTTACATTTACGACAACTCGGCATCTCCATATTCCATTTTTAAACCCCTTTTCTATTTGTGGATCTGTTGAAAGGTGAAAGGGATGAAGGCCGTGAAGTCATGGACTCATGATGCACATGAAGCTCACTATCCTCGCTCATCATACTGTAGACTACTACTACTACTAGTAGAGTAATCTGCTTTAATATCTATATTTAGAGTGTACTTGGAACTCAAGGCTCAAAACTGAGAGTACCGACCTCTCTCTAGGCTACAGAGACCGACCTGGGCTACAGAGTACAGTACTACTGTATTTACTATTTATATATTTAAGAGATTTTAGAGTAGGAGTCTTACCTAGTAGGCTAGTACCCACTATCCAAATTCAAAATTGGATGCTCCCCTTCTCGTTCTGTGTGGATCAGTGATCGATCAGAAGACTGTAAAAAGTAAACAAGTAATTTTTATGTTTATCTGGGTCATCCGTGGCTTCGGAGTACGGAAAAATATACTATATACTTATAAAACTTAAAAAGTTCAACAATCAAAAAGCTTCATTTTATTGTCGTTTGGTGAAATTAGTAATAACACATACATATTTGTTAATTTTTATACATTGTTTTGAAATAACAACAAAACAAAAATACTATTGACACACAAGAAGAAGACTGTTCGACAGTTCGACTCGGTTATTTATTTATCAGTATTGGCTATTGAGCATTCAGTCGTGTTGGCTCATGAGTCATGAGTCATGACTGTTGTGCTCAGTTCAATCTCAGCCTTCAGACTTCAGTGCGAGTTCAGAGTGACTTCAGTTCTATTTGTTGTTTAATTTAAAAAAAAAATACTTTTTTTAAGTTTGTCACAGGATTCCCAGCAGAGGCCAGAGATCCAGTCACTGACTCGCGTCTCAGACTTCCATCATCCATCCTGTGTAATTGACTATTTAATTGTGTACAGTATGTATACTGTATAGTGTATACATACATTTTGTTTTTGTTATAGAAAAACAAAAGAGCAAATAAAATTCAAACAATCAACGAATCAATGATTAGAAGAGTTTTTTAAGACTTCCTCTTGTATTTGTATCTGACCTTCTGGTAAACGTTTCCGACCCCTGTGTCGGAAACCGATCACTCTAAAATATCTTTAAAAGTCTCAGCTTCAGATTTGTCAGAGAGTTTTCGAGGAATTTGAATTGAAAATATTTCATAAAATATCGTTTACCAGAGGTAAGACGAACAATATTTGTATGTAGGAAACAGACAAACAAGAGTGTTGTTTTGTTAACAAAAAGGATTCAATAATGTCGAAAAAAAAAAATAGTAATTCAGGCGCCAATGAAACGTCGAAGTGCCTTATTTTACATACAGTTCTGCTGCGCCCGTCCCCGTGACCCGCGTCCCGCCGTCCCGACGTCCCGACATGCCACAATATATATATAGCAAAAGTCAGTATAAAAATAAGTACAAATGTAAATATAAAATATACTCAAAACAGCAATGAAGCTTTGATACATAGTAACGTGTACGAACCAAAAAAAAGAAGTCTCGGTGATCTTGATGACGTGAGAGAGATTAATAATATTTTACACGGGGCAATCCCTTTTTGTTGTATTTAGAAAGCCGCGGCGGATTACTCACCTCTGGATCTACCAGGGATATACTGTCGAAAATTGCACTATTAGCAAAGTTTCGCATATAAAAGTCACTATATTGAGTGTATTCTATCCATTGCCTATTTGAACCTGATACTATCAACACGGGCATAAATGTTTCTCGTCACCACACTTGTTCTCGCAGTCGCTGCGTCTCTCGATGGCCAACCAATTGACACGCCAATTGGTACTGCGAGAACTACTACGTTAGGCAACAATTGTGCCACATGTGAGAACGGAATTTGGCTTCAATCGGGAAACACATGCTACGATAACCTAGCCTTGGCCATCTACTCGAACTTCGCAAACGAACCTTTATACATCTCTGGAACAATCGAAGTTGAGAACGAAATCGCGCTTCTGTCCAGTATCAAATTGGTTGGGAGTAGTTGCGGCGCAAGCATATCAAAGCCTAAGATTGTATCCAGAATAGATGATGACTATGATGCCATATTTGTGCTATCAGGTCAGGATGGTGCCACCTATCATTTTGAGAATATACATTTCGAAAATGGTGACGATCGGTCTCGCTTGATCCGTACAGGTATGTTTAAAAAAATTTCGTATTAATGTTACAAACTTTCTCTCGGATCGAAAATTCACTATACCTAGTTGTTCCTCAGACTTTTCGACAATTTTCATGTATTGGTCGAACGATGTGGAATGTGGCAATGATTGACCACATACATATAGATGGTACCTTTATGGTTGTGATATAGAGGTCATGTTTGATCCAATAGATGATATAGAGGTCAAAAATGTGCGACCCTGAGAGGTGTTTTGTTGTGCATCCATATCCACGTGGGAACACAATCATTCGCAGTTCTTGCTGAGTATAATTATTAAACCAAATACAGAACAATTCGCATGGCTGTGGATGCTTGCGCTAGCATACAAGGGTACATACCGCACATGTTTATTCAGTGTGCACTATATCTTGACGATGACGATATACTCGAATAGTACACGAGAGCTTCGCGAATAGTACATGAGAACTGACATGCTTGCACACTGAATATTTCTGTTGGGTATACAGCTGAAGTGGACGAGGATCAAGAGGAAACAGATGATGCGGGCTGGTCGGACATGCCCGCATACAATCTTGCACTTATCGACATCGTTGCCGAAAAATTTGAGACTAAAGCAAGAGGTGGATCTGCCGTATTCATGCAAGTCGCAAGAAGTGTACTCATAGACGGTTCCACATTCTCACAAAACAATGTGGCTGACCCCGGGAAAGAACTTTACGGTGGAGGTGGTGCCGTGTGGATCCACGAGGTTCCCAAAGGTAACTCTGTGGTTGTCCAAAACTCGATATTCACTGAAAATACGATGGAATTTGAACACGGACTAGGAGCAGCTTTCTACATAGCACACATTGATGGGGCGGCGAGCATACTCAATTGTGTGTTCAGGGACAACGCTGCTGCAGACGGCGCCGCCATTCATATTTCTCGAACGGATACCAGCGGTAGTGTGATCATCAACAGCACTTTTCAGAACAATAGAGCCGCTTCTGACTGGGGTGCACGTGGCTCTGCGCTGCGCTTCAAGTACATCTACGGTAGTGTGTCAATTGATGGTGTCTATACAGATAACGAGACCGCCGACGGCAGATCCCTCATAGCAAACAATAGGGTTGGATCAGGTGCGTCAGTGCGCTTAGCAGGTACTTTTATCAACAACGATTGTCGACAGGGAGGCGCGGTGTGGGATTCGCACATGGAGTTTGGTGGGGTCATGACAATTAGCAGTGGTACATCAATGGTGGACAATGACAGTGATGTCAATCCTGGGACAGTGATACGTCTTGCGGGGGCGAACGAAGGCGATGCGACGACCTATAAGTCAGCGGATTGGGTAAACAGTTTGACAGAAGATACTATGATCACGCTCTAGTTGCAGTTGTAGATCAATACTTCAAACCAGGGTACATCTGTAGATCAATGCTCCAAACCACGATGTAGTTGTAGATCAATGCTCCAAACCACGATGTAGTTGTAGATCAATGCTTGAAAACATAATTTAATTGTAGATCAAATCTTTAAACCACTAGGTATCTGTAGATCAATGCTTCGAAACAAATTTAATTGTAGATCAATAAAATTTATAAGAATTAAGAATAATAAGTGGTCTTCTGTGGACACACCTCGCGCATGCAAACTAGATGCAGCCAAATCAAATTCTTTACTACGTTCTGCTACAATAATTAGTACGGAATAGTGATCCATCACATACAATTAGTATACTTTATCGTATTGTGAAAACATTGTTTTCAGCTTCGTCCTTGTTCATTGAGGAAACGAATCTTGTTGACGATGGTTTCCAGTTCATACTTAGCTTGGATAAACTGCTTTCGACTGCCACTTAACCGAAGGAGGTTTTACCATCAATGTACTAGCATCCATCTATGTATTGTCATCCACCTATGTACTATCGGTTATTACTTTATGTACTATATTTTATAGTATGCTAAACAACATAATCATACTACAGACCCTGATAAAATCTTCTTTAGAGTTTTATCCTGTCGAAGAGCCATATCCACCGCCGTAGCATCTGTGTTTAGCCGAATCCGTCGATGAAAATCAGTGACGCAGGGCTCCGAGTGTATCACCTGTTTTAGGGTCGGGGTAGGTAAGGGATTATGAAACAATAAACACCAGAAGCACCCTCAGGCACCTGTACCAATTCGTTAATTTGTCAGCCGCCCCAAAGATTATGCAGCCGTGCTCTTGCGGCGACTAACAATGTAGGCAACAATTCTTATTCTGCGACAGAAATCGACGATACACTTTCATTTCGCAGATGACCATTTCACTGCGAGTTGCAGGGGCGTTTGGTGTCGTGAAGGTGGGGGCATGTACACCTTAGTCAGATGATCAACAATGATTTGATAATAATGATTAAAAATAATTTAAAAAGGGTGGAGATCACTACGCCTTATATGTATGTGATTGTTTTAAACATTTTACACACAAGACGTAGAGATCATTGCCCTGGATTCTTACAACAGCACGACTGCATTTCTCTATGCGTACCCTCATTGCCGATAACACCCGAGCGATGCCAGATATCTGACTCTCCGATGGCGAATTGAAAGAATGTGATTTGCAGATCTTCAGGAATTGACCGATAATCTGGTGCAACCGTGCCTCTTCCATACCTGAACGTTTCAGTACCTGAGACGTTCAAGAGGTTAAAGGTACAGAACAGTGTCTTGAGATAATGCGCACACAGCAGGACACACAACTGTTCTACTGTGAGGCAATAGCAGTTGTCCATGATAGCTATAGCCGTAAGAGTAGGATGTAAAGCGTACCTCTAATGCTGATATACTATGGTGTAAACTGAGGGAATGTGCTCCACATTACCCATAGGCTACAACATACTGCGCGAGGCGTAGTGTGTTGTGCGTCGCTGGTTGCAAGTTTATGTTTTACCGCATGCGGGAGAATTGTGAGAAAAAACTGACCAATCCTACGAATGCCACAGTCTGCATATAGGTGTATGCGAGTACAAAGGAGCCATTCGCGCAAGTAACATATGCGAATCAATATTTGGCAGGTGGTAAAGCAGAGACTGCGAGGGGCCATTTCCAATAGCACAACATAGGCGTTTTGCTAAGACCTACATGAATGCGCATAGGAAAAGAAAAGCGATTATGCAAGATATACGTGGATCATACGTCAAGCAATATTAGCAGCTGAAGGTCTTCTTCACGTAGCACTAATACACAATATCGCTAGAATTGTGTTTAGTTCCGTCGGGTCGGTAGCTTGTGCTATCGATAACGTAGCCATGACTACCACGTGTTTGTTGACTTACCTGGAGCAGTGAGACCAGAAAAAGCTGTTGTTGCCAGCTACTGTTGCGTACACTTACAACGGTCGTGTTCTTATGCATCCTCTTGATCACGGCGTCTATTTCCGGGATACCGACCTTCCGAACACATGTGAATGGGTATGGAAACGGGAACAGGCTGAACACACAACATCACAAGCAAACACATCCGCTACGGTTCGCTTAACAATACTCAACCGTTCAATCAATCAGCGCCTCTGAGGTATCAAGTATGTGCTTGTGGGCGCTCACAGAATTAAAAAGGTCCGGCGAGACTAAAATACCCATGTAGCAGTTAGAACCACTTCAAGTTGCAACTCAACGCCCCAGTGTGTTTTTGACCGTCCTATGCATGTAACATCCCTTCAACACCATGTTTCGAAGAGATAAGCACACGAACACAGACATAATAAACCACTGTGATACGATCACAGCATCCTAACGGGCACGTATTTACTAGCACACCAAGTATCCCTTCCTGTCCTCACCTTTTTGAGTTCACCTTCTGCCCTCTCCTGGGCCATCTCAGTTGCGGCGCGACAAATATCCAAACACCTCCGAGCATCACCTGATGTAGCGGCTATCTTACGCGCACACAGCTCTATGGCTTCGGGCTGATGGGCAGTGTTGTGGGGGTCAGAAGAGATCGATTAATACACTAGCACAATAAATGGATATGTTCAGGCTTTTGGTTGGTTCAATGACCTCAGTTTGGAGGTGATAGGGCCAAGAGCCGGTCAGTATATGGTCCGTATAAAGTATAAAAATGATAGATTAGTAGGTAAACATTATTGCAGGAATAAGCGTAGATGAAACAAGATGAACGTTATAGTTGACAAGATACACATTAATATTTGTGTTGTCCAAACAAGCGTGCAAGCGCTGAGGGATTACTGTCTTTGATGCTTGACCCATACAATTAGCGCATACACAACGACAGACCCAGCGCAACAACGCGCTACCAAGCCAAGTACCATAACACTACGTTATACTCGACAGACACGCCTTAGAAACTTTCAATTAAAACCATTCTTGTTGTGTCAGACACACCACATCTTTTCGATAAACAGATCATACTGTTTAAGCAATCCCCCTAACGAAGTGTCGCAGAAATCGTCTGGGTCTGTGACAATACGCACAAACACACACAAATACACACGCGCACAAACACACACACATACACACACGCATATATCTATATATATATATATATTATAAACCCACATGACAAGCCCATTCAACGAGCACACCTTAAACACGACCAGATTTTCTAACCGGGACGTGACGATAATCTTCAGCTGTTCATGAGTGTAGGGTTCAAAGGTTACTCTGTTCATGCCGAGTCGAGAGGCTTCCTTGTTGGTTAGAAGTCTCTCTGGCAAGTCCATAGTGTTTGCGATGGTCAATACAACCAGCCGGGCGTGCTTGCTCATCGGCCAACTGTATGGGATGAGAGTACTAGTGAGCTGGATAATAACTTATGCAGGTAATGGGGAAACCCACTAAAATGGCAAACACTATGTACAGTTGCATATCTTTGTATTTGAACATAGTACAACAATAACCGCAAGGGGATGTTTGTCACTATGCCATTTACTAATGTGATTTTTGAAGTGTGCGTGGGGGAGAACTAATTTGCGTGACATTTTGTCTAAACCCAACATCGATAGACGATTCTAGACTATTTACACGAACCGTCGTACTACCCACATCCGGAAAAACGCAGAGATATTCTGACCCTGCGGTATAGTGACATGCTCGGGCAACTATATATATATATATATATATATATATATATTGCACACACACACACACACTATATATA